AACAACAGGTCTACAAGATGGACCCATTGAAAAACAGAAAGGAGACATGGAAAGACAAAGCATTACCTGGCCACTAAAAACAAGAACAGGGAAAACAAATAATAAGACCTGGCAATGGTTAAGAGGAGAAAAAATGAAGAAAGAGACATATGGGCTAATTCTGCCTGCACATGACCAAGTATTAAGAATAAATGCATACAAAGCCAGAATTGAGAAAGCAATAATAGATAGCAAATGCTGCCTCTGCAAAGAAGCTGAAGAAACAGTGGGCCACTTAGTTAGCTGCTACAAGGTCACATAGACTGATTACAAACAACAGCATGACAAAGGAACAACAATGGTGAATGGAAAGATCGACAAGAAATACCATTTGCCTGCAAGCAAGAACTGTGGAAACATAAAATAGAGAAATTCATAGAAAATGAAGAAGCTTGCCAGACTTAACAATTGTCAATAAGAAAGACAAAAAAGTTTGGATAATGGATGTGGCAGTACCTGGGATAGCAGAATAGAAGAGGAGGAATGGAGAAGATAACAAAATACAAAATGCAATTAGAGATAGAATGACTGTGGCAAAGGAAAACAAAGATAATACCAATAATAGTAGGCGCCTTGGGTGCAATTCCAAAACAACTGGAGCACCACTTGAACACAATTGGCATTGACAAATTATTCACCAATCAGTTGAAAAAGATAGCTTTACCTGGACCAGCTTACATCCTGTGTCGATACCTCTAATATCATCAGACATCCACATCTTCCTGTCCCAGGTCCTTGGGAAGGACTGGATGAGTAAATGCCAACTCCAGTCTAAACATCTGGCTGACTCTGTGACAAGCCATAATAATTGGGAACTGCCCATTGTTGGTTATAAGATGGGGGGGGGGGCTATATAAATGTTTTAAATTAAATTATATATTAGGACTGGGCTCTGGGATTTGGGGGTGGGCAGTATGGTGTTTTGTTGGTTTTCTTTCTTCCTCCAGGTTCGTTCCAGTTAGTGTTCATGGAGGAAGGAGATCCAGCTAGCAGCTTCTCCTTTGCCAGGTGCCTCAGGGCTCTGTATTGTTTACTCTTCTATTTAACACCTATATGAAGCCCCTGGGTGAGGTCATCCAGTGGTGTGGGGTGAGATGTCATCAGTATGCTGCTGCTGCTGCTGCTGATGCCCTGCTTTATATCTTCACCATAGGCTGCCTGAGTGATGCTCAGGTTTAAAAACAACAGACGCCTGTGGATTCTCATGAAGAGTGCAAAACAGCATTCTATTTGCTTTCCCCCTTTCTATTCAAACTACTGATAAAGTACATAGCAGGAGTAAATTCATTTCTGGCTATATTTTGCAGACATAATTAATAATTATGCTTATTTCCAAGGCGTCTGCCAACAATTCTGCCATCATATCAGCAAGATTTTCCCCCTTTTCTTCATCAATATTCTGGAATCTCAGGAAATATTCAGCCTTCTCCATTTCTAAAGCAATTATTGTTCCCTCTAACTTTTTGACTAGGTCAGTCTTTGGTTCATCTCATCCACTTTTTTCTCTGCTTCTGATTTCTCTTTTATTATCTTAATCTTTTGTCCATTTTTGACTACTATCTGCTGAAAATTCCCTATTTTTTCATCCATCTTTTGTATTTTTTTCTTCATCTCTCCCATCTTATTCTTCATCTCATGCTTTCTTGCCAATGACTCTTGTAGCGATTGAAACATTGACTACATCTCTATTTGAATTGTTGAATCAGACTATCTTATTGATCTTTGATTTGATGGCTCTGGATGCTGATGGTCCAGATGTATTTTCCCTCTATTTTAGTTAGATTTTGAGTACTTGTCATTTTAAACTCTTATTAGTAAATTTAAAAAGGATAAACAACAATAATTCAAAATAATAACAAAATAATCCAAAATCCCCAGCTAGCTCCTCTTCCCATTTTTAAGATATTATCCAAAGAAATTCACCAAAAAGTCATTTTCTTTTTTCCCAATTGCCAGCCAACTTCACAGTTCTTTACTATTATAATCCACAGAGTCAGTCTGTAAATTAATTCAAAGAGTTTCTTTAAAAACAGCTGCTGTTTCTTCTTCTTTTGACAAATAATATTTGTAATCCAGAGGCCCACCAAATACCTAGTGTTTTGTAAACCGCAGTGCCTTGCAAATCCAAGAATCATCCATTTAGTCTCAGAATAAATCCATGTTGTTCTCCAGCTTCAAACGGCTCAGCATATTTATAATCCACTAAGGTTCAGAGAGCTACAGTGTTCAAAAAGTTTCAAGATATTGGTTATAAGAATGTTTCCAAATGTCCAAAGTAAACAATTTGCAGGTGTTCTTTGTAAGAGTAACAATTTTATCAGCAGTAGACCGTCAAGGTCAATTCACTTTTCACTTTCACTTCCTTGGTGTCTTTCCTCACCAGTAGATGTCACCCTTACTCTATTTCTCTGTTTCTATTTCAAGATCTTCTTTTCGTTCTTTTTTTTTAAAAAAAGTTTCAAAGGTCAGTTTCATTTTGAATGTATTCTAGTATTTTTTTATCTCAGTTAAAGTTGCTAAAGCAATCAGTCCAGTTTTCCTTTAGCTTTAAAGTTTATTCTCTCAAGCAATTCTCTCTTTTCCGGATTTGCCAGCAGCTCACAGTTTTAATTGCTGTTATCCTTGAGGAGTGAGAGAAAACTCCACCTTCTCCTCTCTTGAGTCCCACTTTCACTAAAAATTGTTTCAGGGGTAAATTCCTCAACAGAAGTTGGAAAAATGTCATCCAGTTCAGCTATACTGTTGTTAAATTGTCTCTTCTTTGCTTCTTCAGTTGAGCTGTCACAGCCTCTGTCTAGTCTTAATGGCCATCTTTTTCTCCCTCTGGTTTCAAAGGCTTCTCCAGATAAAAAGAGATTGCAGTCTCCTTGTGATCAACAGAGTTTCCCTTCTATCTTCATCACCCCTCCGAGATGACTTTGGCCCCTTAGGGCCTCCTGGAGGGCAGAATTCGGCAGATTTCACAGAGCCCTGTGAAAACCACACCGTTTTGTCGCGACGTCAGCTCTGCCTCTTTTGAGCATGTGTGGAGATTATGATAGAAGCTTAACTTACATTAAACTAATTCTATCTCTTCCTACTTTTAATGTTAAAAATTGACTTAGGCAAGTTTTCTTTTTTCTCACTTAGACAACTGATAGCTGGCCTGTTTCTTGCTAGTGATCCTTGGAATGCTTCCTGGACTTTGAACTACTCAAAAACTATTGACCATAGAATGGTTCAAATATTACAGAGTTCATTTTTGGGTTACTAACTCTGAACTCTTTTCAACCATCAGCAGAGATGTCTAATAATTTGCAATATTGGATCTCCCAGGAAGATGTAGAAATGAACCCAGAAAAAGTATGCGCAGTCCTGGGGTGGGAGGCTCCCTGCACAAGGAAGCAACTGCAAAGCTTCCTCAGATTTGCAAACTTCTATAGGGAATTCATCCTTGCTTTTGCCCAGATTGCATTGCTGATTATGAACCTGTTAAAGACAAAATGGGGCTCCAAGCTCAAACCCTGTCAACCTCTTAAGTGGACCCTAGTTCTTCAACGAAGTCAAGATACCAGAACTTCAAGTCATTTTGGCTTTGTGAAGACACTCCATTTGGTGAAGCTGCAATTTTTGGGGATATGCATGAAAAAGGATATTGAACATTTCGTGACTGGTTGCCCAGTGTGCGCTTCAGTGAAAAGTTACCTAGGGAAACCCCCAGGTCTGTTGCAACCTATATTTTCTAGGTGTCTGCATATTTTCTTCCAGGGGGAGTCCATGAGAGTTCATTTATCAGGGAGCCTGACCTTGGGATGCTAGTACAAACTGGATCCAGCTACTTTGATCTTTATCACCTGTCATTGTCCCCTTCTGATTTCCCATCATATACACATGCAGCTTTATTGTCCCTCCAGCCTCTCCCCTCCCATCCTTTGATGGCAGGAGGCCTGTGAGGCGACAAGCCAAACCAGACAGAACTGATATTCCTATCCCAGTCCAAGAGCACAATGAAAGCATTATATTGACACTCTTTAACCCTCATTGTGTTCAAAATATGCAAGCTGCATTGATTTCCAAGAATGGAAATTCTTTCATTTTGGCAAAAATTAAACCCCACAATGAGATTAAATAAGTCAAATGGGCTAATCCACTTGTGAGCTGAATTTAATTTGATGTCCCTCCACTTCAATATGTGAAGGACAGCGTATATTGTTCTAATTGGATTAAGAGAATAAGTGAGCTATTTGACAGATCTTACCCGTTGAACATAGACTCTATTAATTTTAAGTATTTTTGAGGTATTGAGTTTACTGATTATTTGGGACTATAAACATAATCACTAATGAATTGAATTGTCATATGCTTCACTAGCTGAAGCTTTCACATTGTTTATAGTATTATTAACAAATAGCACAAACAAACTAAATAGGAAGCTGCTTAGTGCATGATCTACTGAAACACATTTGTTTTTCTGTAGAAATAGTTGTAATTCATGGAGCATTAAAATTGGCCGTAAGCCTTCTGAGTCCTCAAGTTTACTTGTCATTCTACTGACAAAAGATGAATCTTGAAGGGCTTGTAGGATTTAAGTTCCATTGCATTAGCTCTGATTTGACCCATTATAATTTGATAATGATCTGGTGACAGAAAAAAAAAGAGAAGAAACCATTTCCATAATGCATATTTTGCTTTATAAAATTAGACTTTTAAAAACAAAAATTAGAAGCTATTGCTTTAAACTAATTTTTACCATTTATCAAATATTTGGATCCAAATGTAAAGTTAATTTTTGTCAAGTAGTTAAGACAAAAATAGGAAGTAGGTTGACCTACAAAAGTATATATGATTTTCTACTTTGTCTTTTTTATAGCATTCACTAGAAAGCTTAATATTTTAATTACTATAGCATTTTTCAAGCCCTCAGAGCAATTTTTATTTCAGGTAAAACCTTGATTTCTCTAATGGATTGTTTTCTATGACAGGTGGAAGATTCAAGAAAGAGATAGTAATTGATGGACAGAGTTATCTATTGTTAATTAGAGATGAAGGAGGTCCTCCTGAAGCACAGGTATGTATTACGCTTAATTATTGTAGTAATCTGAAATCTGGAGACGAATGGGTAACATTTGCAACAGAAATTAATGAAGGAAATGGTTTCAACAGAGTTCCTTTTCAGCACCACACCTGTATCATCTATTCAGAACAAATTATAAAAAAAGTGGAAAGGAGGAATTGAAAACAAAATGAAAATCTCCTTTTCCCTACACTGGTCCTAGAGACTTAATTAGAGGCATGGGGGTACTACCAAAAGACTGGAAAAGAACTAATGTAGTCCCCTGTCTTCAAAAAAAGAGGGTAAAGCAAATCTAGGAAACCAGAGACCAATCAGCGTGACATCAATATTTGGAAATATCCTGGAAAAGAATATCAAGCAGTGTATTTATGAGCATCTAGAAACAAGCAAGGTGATTACCAGAAGCAAACATGGGTTTGTTAAAACAGATCATGCTAGACAGAACAGAATAATAGAGTTGGAAGGGACCTTGTAGGTCATTTAGTCCAACCCTCTGATCAAGCAGGAGACCCTATACCAATTTGGACAATACAGACAGCTTTAATATAAAAAAAAGGAACAAGACAAGAATGCCCACTATCTTATATTGACTTTGGAAGTTTTGAACAGGAATATCAGACAAAATTCAGAAATCAAGGGAAGAGAGGAAAAAAATAAACTACAAGTGTTTGCAGATGATTTGATATTTATTGTAGAAGAACCATTAGACATAATTCCGAAACTGTTAAAAGAAATAGAGGAGTTTGGAGAAGTAACAGGACTGAAAATAAACAGAGAGAAAAAACTAAAGTTATAGTTAACCCTTACACAAAAACAAAGAGAAAATATATCAGAAAAAGTGGACTTTCAAATAGTTAAGAAAGTTAAATATTTGGGAAAATACTTAGCAGCAAGATGTGCAACGATAAAAGAAAGCAATTATATATAAAACTACTTAAGCAACTAAAATTAGATTTGGAAAAATGGAAAAACCTACATTTATCTATGTTAGGAAGGATTTCTACAATAAAAATGAATATTCTACCAAAACTCCTTTCCCTGTTCCAAACAATACCTATAAAAATAGAAAAGAAATTCTTTGATGATTTGAACAAATTGACACTAAAATTTATTTGGCAAGGAAAAAAAGCAAAAATAAAATTGAAAAAGCTATAAGAATCTGAAAAAATGGAGGGTTTGGACTACCAGATTATCAAGCATGTGTGATCAAGCATGGTTAAAAGAATGGATAACCCTCAGACGCAAAAGACTGTTATACTTAGAAGGACATGATTTAGAATTAGGATGGCATGCCTTCCTATGGTATGAGAAGAATATAACCCAGATACTTTCAAAATCACTATATAAGAAACTCACTAATATCGATATGGGAAAAAGTAAAATGTAAAATATACTTGAAAATTCCAGAATGGATCTCAATGATGGAAGCCTTTACATACCCAAATCTGGTGAAGTTTAAAAAAAATAGTGACATATAAAGACATTTTGGATACTGAACGGAAATTAAAATCGAAGCAAGAGCTTGAAGAACAGGACATTATACTATCATGGTGGCAAATGCAATCTAGATATGATACAGATATGAAAAAGTATAGCTTTTATAAGGGACAAACACCTTTTGATAAGACTTGAACTCTAATGAAAAATTAATAAAGAAGCTATATAAAACGTTTTGCTAAATTTAAAAATGGAGGATGAACAAATAAAAGACACAATGGTACAATGAGAAAAAACTTTAGCTATAACATAGAATGAGAGAAATGGCAAAAATTATGGGAAAGGAACTATAGATTAACAATGGCAACTTCTTATAAAGAACATTTATATAAAATATTTTATCTTCATACAATATTAGAAAGATGAAGAAACATCGGAAGATGAAGAGATAATTAAGAAGATACTAGATTGTGCCGAAAAAGATAGACTGACATTGAAAATTAAACAGAAAGAAGACACAGAATATTATCAAACTTGGAACTTATTTTTCCAGTGGTTGGAAAAATGGGATGGAGAGTAAGAATGGAATCTGTATTGTTAAGCAAACTGAATACCCAGACAACATGATGTTTATTAAGCACTAAGATATGTAATTAATAGAAAATTTATTTTAAAAAAGAAGAGGTGATAGTACTTCTATGCAGCACTAGTAAGGTCAGATTTAAAATACTGCATCCAATTCTAATCAGCATGATACAAAAAAAATGCTGAGGCCCTAGAAAGAGTGCAGAGAATAGCAACAAAGATGATAATGGATGTAGAATAAGGGTGTCAAACTCAATTTCATTGAGGGCTGCATCAGGGTTGTGTTTGACCTCGGAGGGCTGGTGGTCAGGGCATGGCCAGGGGGCATAGGCAAAGTGGACATGGCAGCACTTTGCCTCCTGCATTACTCTGCCAGCCAAAACGGGGCACGGTGGTTAATTACAAAATGTGGGCTTTGCTTTGTGGCATCCAGATCCAGCGAGCAAGGAGTGTGAACTGCATAGAAAGTACACTTTTGTTTGGTTATTAAGAAATATCCCCAAAGTCAGATGTAGAGTAAATGTAGACTGACTTTTAGCTATACACCTTCCCAGAAAACAGCAAATTTTGAAGCTCCAGGTAAAGAGGATTCATTTTAGGATGAGTAACCACAGTTTGCATGTTGGAGGTTTCTAAAGGGATGCTTGGAAACTTTGAATTTTAAAGAACATTTGAGGGAGGAGTGCAGAATAGCCCTTCTCTGCCTGAGGTTCTAGAGACTCGGCACCAATCAAAACACTGTTTGTGAAGCAACTGATCAACAATAACAGGATAAGCCACTAGTATATGAAAATAAGAGCAAACTCCACTCCCTTTTAGTACTGATGATGTTACCTAGTTTGGTAATGAAACATCTGCAAGAAAACCATCAAGCTCAGAGAGCACCAAGGACCCCACAGTTAAACCCTGAGCTACAAATATTCTCTTCTATTGATAAACACTTTTTGGTTAGAGGGACTCAGAGCCTGCCTTATATGAGATGGCTCCCAGTGGATTTCATTCTAAAGTTTGATATGATTTCTGTAAATAGGCAATGTAAAATTATAATGGCTGAATCTTTGATCCTTCATACATAAAAAAATACAGAGCTATGGGATAAACAAATAAAAAACAGATTTGAAAAAAGAAATGGCTCAGGAAAGAAAAAGAATGAAAGTGTAAGAAAGAAAGAGGAAAAGAAGAAAAATTGAGAAAGAATGACTTCCAACTTCCTTTGTTACAGATAAAAGTAAAAAAATATACCAAACTCTTACTCTAAGATTAACATTTGTCTACATTATTTCCACAATCCCATATATCTAATCATCAAAGCCCCAGATCAACTTTTAATTTCTCACAAAATGTCCAGTAATGATTCATATGTCTTAAATCACTATTTGTTAAGGAAACCACACTGATTTATTTAATTGCATCAAACTCTAAATAAAACAGGAACGGAAAATCCTAAACTCTAGTGTAGACCCATGCTTCTCAACTTTGGCAGCTTTAAGGTGCATGGACTTCAGTTCCCAGAATTCTGCAGGCAGCATGAAGTTCGCCCATCTTAAACTTGCCAAGACTGAAAAACGCTGATCTACAGATAGGAATTTTTCCATTCCTCTTTTGCTGGTTCTTACTTACATTATGAGCAATCATAATGCAAAATCCTCACTCCCACCCCATCCCAGAGCAATCATAATACAAAATCCTCACACCCACTCCACCCCAGAATAATCATAATGCAAAATCCTCACCCCCATCACAGAGCAACCACAATTCCCTCACCAACTTGCTTTCCACATTCTCCTGCATGAAGGGCAACAAAAGAAGACCAAGTGACTACCAGTTTAAAAAAAAAAAGTGCAATCAGACCTTCCAATTTCTCGGGGGGAAAAAGATTTCGCAAAGTTAGGTCTGATTGAATTTTTTTTTACTGGTAGTCCCACGGTCTTCTTTTGTTTCCCTAAATGCTGGAAATGGAGCTGAAAAGCAGGTTAGTGAGGGAATTGTGATTGCTGCAGGATTTTACAGGAGGCCATTCAGGCCAAAAATGGGCTGCCGGGGGTGAGGGGGGGGGGGTATGGCACACCCCCCCCCCCCCGGGCCCCATTTTTCTAGCAGAGGCATCCCAGGCCAGTCCTTTGCTATTTCCAGGCCGGCCCCATGGGCCCGATCTAAACACCCTATGGGCCAGATCTAGTCTGTGGGCCTTGAGCTTGACACTCTTGGTGTAGAAGCTAAATTATACTGTACTAAGAACTGCTAAGGGAACTAGATATATTTAGCCTAATGAAGAAAAGTCTTTAGACATGTTAGCTGTCTTCCAATTTGAAGGGCTATCACAGGGAACAGAGGGTTAATTTATTCTCCAAACACCTGAGCAAGGACAAAAAGCAACTTTGCATCAGAGAGAGATCCAACCTGGAACTTTCTTGACAGTGAGAACAGTTAGTCAGGGAACAGCTTGTCTCCCAGAATAGTGGTTGCTTCATTGCTGAAGATTTTCAAAAGATAGGACAACCATTTGTCTGGAATGGAATACGGGCTACTGCAGCTTTGGATCTGTCAGAAGTGCCTTCTATACCTGCATATACATATTCAGTTCATGGGAGGAGATCCTCAAAGCTGCCATGCTATGTTTCTAATGGTCATAGCACCCCCATGTCTTAAGTAGCCAACTCAGAAAGTTGACTTTATAAAATTTGTATTCTAGTGTAATTTGCTAACAGAATATTGATTGCAGGACAACCTGATACCCATTTAAATCCTAAAGTGTGTGACTTGATATTCAAATAAGATTTCCTCTATTTTAAGGATTTGTTTTAATTTTTTTCTACAGTTTGCCATGTGGGTGGATGCCGTTATCTTTGTCTTTAGCCTTGAGGATGAAATTAGCTTCCAGACAGTGTATCACTATTACAGCCGTATGGCAAACTATCGTAATGCTAATGAAATCCCAATGTTACTAGTCGGAACTCAGGGTAAGCAGTAATTCTTATGCCATATTTATTTCTTGAAAAACATTACTTGCTTCTTTTATTTATGAAGCTGTATCTTAAGAACAGCATTCATCTTCTTATCGGTGTGTACCTATAAAGCTTTGGAAATCATTCAAGAAATGCTTTAGAATATATGAAAATGCTTACACAGCTCCTCCTTCTGAATAGGCAAATAGACTTGCATGGCTCTTTTGAAAACCATTCCTGACTGTCTTCCCATGTGTGTATATATAGTTGCTTTATATTGCAATTTTATATATCAATATATTTTCCTTTTCCTATCACTAGCAAATCCATGAATTTCCCTTTGGCCAATATTTTGCAACCAAAATCATTCAATGATAAATGTCTGTTTTGGTGAATTTGCCATATGGGGTAGTTGTATTTTATCCACCACAGGTTATTACTATGTCATTTGCTGGTTAATGACCAAACTAAAGGAACTTAAGTTTATATGACCTGAGAACTCATAAAAATAACAGACAATTTATATAATATACTATTATACTATATTACACACAAATATACATACACACACACACATACACAGACTAGGCAACCCTTGACTCATTAGATCATCATATTTGGAGTTATATCTTTACTTAAACAGAACAACAGAATGATTACAGTTTGTCAAACAGGAGTAGGAGTAGGAGCAAACTGCCAGTTTTCTGTTGGCTTCCCCATTGTATTTCCTTGTGGGAAACTTGCAGGGAGCAAAACATATTTTAAACAAAAATATGGCTTTTAAGGCAAAAATCTAACTTTACAATTTTTCTGAAAATAGCATTCAATTTTTAAAAATCTAAAAATACTAAATGTCATATTATTGTTTAATTGGTCATATTTAAACAATTCTAAGATAATACATTTTTGCATATTTCTAATATTTTAGGTTATAGATATCCTTGCCCTAATGATGGTAATGATAATAGTAGTAGTAACCTGGGTTATTCGAGGAACTGCTTCTTGATTACATATGCCCATCCCATCAAATTGGTTATATTGCAGCTCCTGTTCACTAATTAGATAAACCTGGCAGGACTCAGGAGATCCTATCTTCTGCCACAACACCCACCCTGTAGAACACCTCCCCTGAGGTAAGACTGGTCTTATCCTGGATGTCCTTTCAGATATCCTCAAAATTTGACTGTGTCAACAAGCATTTTAGTTGCATTCTGTTATATGGGCACTAATTATTGACCACATTTGTTAAGGCAGACATTTTGTGAGGTATTCTCAGAATTTCAAATGGCCCTGCAAAATAAGGAATATGACCTTAAGAACTTTCTGAAACAAAAATGCCTTGTTTTCTTTACAGATGCTATAAGTTCGAATAATCCTCGGGTCATTGATGATACTAGAGCACGGAAACTATCCAACGATTTGAAGAGATGTATCTACTATGAAACTTGTGCTACGTATGGGCTGAATGTGGAGCGAGTTTTTCAGGATGGTAAACTTACTTTTCACTATAATTTGTCCATCTAATTGATATGCACTGAATCAGTGATAAAAATATAAGGAACCATAACAAGATTCTAAAATATACAGTGCATTCAGAAAGTATTCGGATCCTCTTCACTTTTGTCAGTTTTGTTATGCTAGAGTCTGATTCTACAGTTGTTGAAATTCATTTTTTTTCTCATTAATCTACATTCAGTACCCCATAATGACAAAGTGATTTTTAGAAATATCTGTAAATTTATTAAAAAAGAAAAAAAACTGAAATATATTGGCATTAGTATTCAGACCCTTCAAGCAGTACTTTTTTGAAGCACCTTTGGTAGCAGTTACATCCTCGAGTCTTGGGGAATGATGTGCAAGCTTCGCATATCTGGATTGGGGGATTTCTGCCACTCTTCCTTGCAAATCGTCTCAAGATCAGTCAGGTTGGATGGCAACCGTTGACGGACAGCCATTTTCAGGTCCCTCCAAAGATGTTCAATAAGGTTCAAGTCAGGGCTGTGGCTGGGTCACTCTAGGACATTCAGAATTGTCCCTAAGCCACTCCTGTGTTGCATTGGCTGTGTGTTTAGCTCGTTGTCATGTTGGAAAGTGAATCTTTGGCCCAATCTGAGGTCCTGAGCGCTGTGGAACAGGTTTTCATTGAGGATATCCCTGATTTCGCTCCATTCAGCTTTTCCTCAACCCTGACCAGTCCCCAAGAGCCTGCTGCTGCAAAACACTCCCATAGCATGATGCTGCCACCACCATGTTTCACTGTTGGGATGATCTTGAGCAGGTGATGAACGGTGCGTGGTTCCTCCAAACATAATATTGAGAATTGAGGCCAAAGAGTTCAATGCTGGTTTTATCAGACCAGAGAATCTTGTTCCTCACAGTCTTGAGAGTTCTTCAGGTGCTTTTTTGCAAACTCCAAGCAGGCTATCATGTGTTTTGCACTGAGGAGAGACTGCTGCCTAGCCACTCTGCCATAAAGACCAGAGAGGTGGAGGGCTGCAGCAATGGTTGTCCTTCTGGAATTCTGTCCCATCTCAATACAGGATCTCTGGAGCTCAGTCAGAGTGACCATTGGGCTCTTGGTTACCTCTCATATTAGGCCCTTCTCCCCTGATTGCTCAGTTTGACCAAGTAACCAGCTCTTGGAAGAATCCTGGTTGTACCAAACTTCTTCCATTTGAGAATTATGGAGGCCACTGTGCTCTTAGGAAGCTTCAGTGCAGCAGACATTTTATTGTAGCCTTCCCCAGATCTGTGCCTTACAATAATCCTGTCACTGAGCTCTGCAGTTCCTTCGACCTCATGGCTTTTGCTCTGCTGTAGTATGCATTGTCATTTGTGAAGACTTCTATAAAAAGGTGTGTGCCTTTTCAAATCATGTCCAATCAATTTAATTTACCACAGGTTGACTACAATCAAGGTATAGAAACATGCCAGCAACAATCGAGTGAAATGGGAGGCACCTGAGCTAAATTTCAAGAGTTGTTGCAAAGGGTCTGAATATTTATGCCAATTATGCCAGTTTTTTTCTTTTTAATAAACGTACAGACATTTCTAAAATTCTGTTTTCATTTTGTCATTATGGAGTACTGAGTGTAGATTAATTTTTTTAAAAAAAGAATTTTGTAGAAAGTCAGCACCCGCTTACCTTCCCAGAGAATGAAATATTTTGGGGAATATTAAAAAGGCAGGATATTATATTTCCCCAAAGGAGAAATAGAACTTCCTGCATAGTAAAACAGCCTCCAGCAGATGCAAGAAATCTTTATAAATGGATATTTGTGCCCATTAAGAAATCTGGGCCAATCTATTCATAAACAAAATGTCTTCAGCTCCAGGGTGATGAGATTAAGAAGGACAGAGCATGACATTTTAGGACATAATAGGATTAATCCGCCATCATTTAGCAAAAGACACAAGCCCCTTCATTGCATAACCTCCAGAACAGTTCAAACTTCAAAGGCACAGAAACCTATAAAGTTCCATCCACTCATTCAACCATTTGGTCAGCTGCAAGCTGTGTATGTGTTGGTTCTGCTCTCAATAAACAGTGTCTTTCTTTTCAATCAGCCTCCATATTATTTCCAGTGTCTTTCTCCCAACTTGGAACTGAACCAGATGGATTTTCCTTCCAACAATTTCAACTGTAGAATCAGGCTGCAGCATAATAAAATTGACAAAAGTGAAAGGGGTCTGAATACTTTCTGAATGCACAGTATCTTTTCTCTCTTTTGAAACTTGTATTATGTATAAGTGATAAGATAAATATTTATCTAATTGTGTGAAAGAGGGGACAAATTAATAATTACCATATTAAGCAACTCTCAGATATACTGAGAATTGCATTGTACATTTTTGCAGCCTGTGCTTAAGCTTTGTCATTCTCCACTGCAAGTTAAAATATTGATGGTACATGTGTTAATTCAAGTGCACGTGTAATGGAACTAATTTCTATACAACTGTATTTAGGTTCTGTTCAAACATGGAAAACTGTCCATATGTCCATTTCTTACTTACGTGGAAGTTTTCCAGTAAGTATTTGTCATTCAATTGTGACAAGTTACAAAGGGGCTAAATAAAGGAGGATTTATGACCAGTTCTTGGAGTTCTGGCTGATGTAATGTCTTTGTGGTCACATGAATACAAGGTATCAATACCTTGCTCACTGTTCTGATATTGCAGTGAACCGCAGTCATATGATCACAATTTCCAATATTCCCTGCTGGCTTCCCAGAAGCAAAGTCAATGTAAGCTGGCTCCCATTCTCACCACTTTTTTGCCCACCATCCATAGCAACTGCCTGCAGCACCAGTGTACCTTTTTGTGCTCACAAGCATTTGCCTGCAGTTTCCTCTTCCCGCTTAATGTCTTGTGTGGTTTTAGGATTATGACAGCAACCTGATTGCCATCATTAAGCAATGCAATCGTGGAACATTTCATCTTAATGACCACATTGTTTGGCAGTGGGAATTTTGCTTCCATTTGCTCTCATAACTTGAGGACTACCTGTAACAAATGGTTCTGTTTCAAAATTATTTGCAGCAGTCATGGGAAGGCAAAGTAGTATATAGCCAATACATTAAAACAAATAGCAGGCAAAGCAAATAACAAGTCCTGACAATGGCTAAAAACAGTAAAATTGAAGAGACAGAGGGCTTAATTCTGGCTACAAAACTCCAAGTCTTAAGAACAAATTAATACAAGGCCAGAGTTGAGAAGACAAATGCTATCTCTGTAAAGAAGCTTAAAAAAAACCCGAGTGATTAGCTGCTGTAAGAAGATTGCACAGACTGACTGCAAAAGAGTGCATGACAAACTAGAGCTGTGGTGGCACAGTAGTTAGAATGCAGCATTGCAAATTAATTCTGCTGACTTCCAGGGGTTCAGTCTTCACTGGCTTAAGGTTGATTCAGCCTTCTATCCTTTCGAGGTCGGTAAAATGAGGACCCAGATTGTTGGGAACAATATGCTGACTCTGTAAACCACTTGGAGAGGGCTGTGAAATGCTATATAAGTCTAAGTGCTACTATTGCTAACAACGATGGTGCATTGGAACATCTACAAAAAAACTCAAGATGGCACTGTTGATGGTAGCCTCAGCAAAATGCTCTTTAATAGTGTTGATTTTTTTTTGTCATTTTCTCTCTCTCACTGCGGATTACATACACCAAAGATGAGCTTCTGAATATCAATCAACTTTCTAGGAATATTTTTCCTAATGTTTTTACAAACACAAAGGGAAACTGTGTGGATATTCTGATAAGAGGAACTGCAGCTTTCTTCAACAGCAGGACAAGACAAAGACAAAGGAAGCACAGGAAGAGGAAGGGGAAGCAAGCAGGTGTCCTTATTAGACTAAGAAAAAGAGGGTAAGAACGTCTGTTCCTTCGCTTCATCCAACAAATCTTCACTCACTAGTAAAAAAGATGGATGACTTGCGTCTTTTAAATCAGATCAATTCTAACTCAGTTTTTCTCTGCTTTACAAATACTTGACTAAGTGAGGCAATAGAAAACAGTCATTTATAAAACAGTAATTTCAGATTCAAAGGGCAGAGACATTCAGAAGCCAAGACATTCAGAAAAAAGAAAGGAGAAGGTATCTGCTTCTATGTTAAAAATCACTGGTGCAAAATGTTAGTGTACTAAAGACATTTTGTGATGTGGAATTAATAGACTATTCATTAATTGCAAAGCTTTTAATGCCCCATGAGAGTTCTCTTCATGTATCTTAGTTGAGGTTTATATACCACCCCACACTTGTGTAAGCAATGCATTGTAAACCTTAGCTGACCAAATCCTGTGTACAGAACAGATATCCATTCTCTCTATTCATTGTTTTAGGGGATTTTAACAATGCTAGTCTAAATCAGGAGTTGCCCAGATATACTCAGCATGTCAGCTGTTACACTAGAAGAAATAACATCTTAAACCACTGCTACTCCATGTTAAAGAAGGTTAATTACTCTCTACCAAGAGCAGCTGTGGACCACTGATCATTGTTATGATTCATCTTGTACCTGCTTATAAACAGAAACTTAAAACCACAAAACCTGTGGTGAAAATAGTGAAGCCTTGGACAGAGGAGACAAAGTTGGAGTTACATGCTTGCTCAGTCTGAAGTGTTTTTGAAGCTGCTTCAGCAGATTGGATGAACTTATTGATACAGTGACATCATATATTGGTTTTTGTGAGATGGTATGTGCTGACCAAAAGTTTGTGCATATGCAATAATAACATATCTTGGTTCACAGCTAAGCTCATGCACTACATCATGTCAAAGAGGAAGCCTATGGAAATGGAGACAGGATGCTGTACAATCAGGCCAGGAACATATTAACAAGGGAGATCAGGACAGCAAAGAGGAACTACACTGAAAAATTGAAGAATCATTTCTCAGCAAATGAACCAGCAAATGGGTGGAAAAACCTGAAGAATATTATTGGCTATAGCAGATCCCCTTTCTTTGCTGAAGACAATTATCAACTGGCAG